GCTTTGCAGGACATGGAGGCGCCAGCGCGATCACTATATATCAATACATCATTCGGAACTGTAAGGGGTCTACTTTTATTTGTGTGCACTCACAATATCAACAAAATGTTGTGCTTTTATAAAATAAAGAAAACAAACACGATGTGCTTTCTGTCGTCTCGTCTTGAACAGGAGCGCTAACAAAAATGAACCGAAACTCGGCGAATACATGCCTCACAGACATGATAAATATATCTATAGAAAGCTTTAAATTACTACTTAACGAAATAAAATAAAACAAATCAAAAACAAAAACTCTTTCATTATAATCATAATCCGTAAAGATGCAATTCTCTCTAAAGGCACGTCTGAGGAGATGGTGAGTCAGGATCGGCAACTTCATCCTTGCGACACCGACTCAGAAAACACTAGTTTATTAGTAAATAATTCAAATATCTCCTTACTATTTCCCCCTGACACATTCATGGTAATTACTTTTGCTGGTGCTTTGCGGCAAGCTTTAGCCTATTGCGTGCATTTGAACGCAGAACTGTTCAGCTGCGCTGACGGCATACATGCTGCTGCAGCTGGACACTAAACCCCGTCGAGCCGCTCTTGACAGTCGCGGCAGGACGGTCTCATGTCGTTTCCACCAGCGTGGCAAAAAAAAATTTTTTTTTCATCACTAATTGATGGATGTCTAAAATATAAAAATTTTGGATCAACATAGGCTACATTTGTGAACGCACATTTTCTGCAATGTCGCGCGTAAAGTCACGCTTCCGTGCGCGTCTTACAGACTGCAACTTACAATCGCAACTTCATTGTGCTGTTACTCCTTTCGAGCCGAATTTCACAAAATTGGTCAGCTCCCGACAGCATCAGGTGTTTTATTACTGGGGAGTATAATTATTTATTTATTTATATGAATGTAATCGATTAGATATCATAATATTTAGGCTATAATAGGCTACTATAAATCTGGTTGGTTTGTATTGGTGACATAATATGTAAATTATATGCGTGCGGCCCGTGAGACTTGCACTTGGACCATAGTGCGGCCCAGTGGAAAAAAAGGTTGAGAACCACTGGATTAGACAGTGAAAAACATCTATAGCCTTCTCCCGGGTCAGACTATGGAAAACGGTCAGAGTCGCTCAAAGAAAAGAGTTCTGCATGTTCATCGGCTGGGACACGGGCACATACTGACAGGGTCAATGGTGCCATTGTAGGAATTCATTCAGAGCCTTCATTCTGAAGAGAGAGATCTCAGCTTATCAGAGAGCGCTCTGTGGTATCAGGTGATACAAACTACAAAGTACAGCCTTTCAGCAATTCTCCCACCTCCCCATAGCGGCCCCCCCAAGTCCTGCAAAAGCTTTTGTGTCCGATAGGTAGACTCGCAACAGTCATCTCTTTAAGAGCTGCTCTGGCTCTAGGAACAGAGGTTGGGTTAATGGTAGGGATACCCTGGAAAAACAAGTTACTGGTTACTTTCTGTTTGAAGAGTATTATTATTAAACCAATAGTTCTGAATTCTGGTTGGATAAACTGTTCAACAATGTTTAAATAGGGATGTGCCACGATGGTCAGTTGCTGGATGACTAACAAATTAGTCAACCATTGAGACACAGACTCAAAACCAGATTCAAACATGGTTCAACCAATCAGAACTGTAAACTTTGTACTCGTGCTGGTTTCATGTGTCTTTTGGGAAATTTTATTTTTTTAAATTTACTTTGATTAAAAACCTCTGGATTTTTACAAATATTTAATTATAAATATTTAAAAGTTCTTCAAATATGAATTATATTGTAAAACCAATACTGCTTTTTAATTAAATAATAATAAATTCAATTATTACAAAAAGACCAAACATTCTTCAAATATTTTAATCCTTTAAATGAGACTAATAAATTATCTACAGACAGGTACATCACTTTTTTTTTTTTATTTTAAGCCCCAAGAAATGATCAGAATGAATTTGAATCCAGAAACTGTAACCCAGTTCATCTTAGAATAGGTGTATCAAAGTCACTGTATGCATGAATTCCTTTTTAAATTAGCAAAACATGATCACCATTGACCTGCATATCTCATAAATGTAAAAAATTTGTTTTTCATATTAAGTCAGTACAACTACACCTTAAGCGCAATTGGTGGTTTGTATTAAGATTTACAGCAGCCATTCCCAAACCAGCTAGTCTAGTATCTATATTTGCATATACTGTGATGTTGATCAGCTAGACATTTGGTGATATACAGCAACGGGTAAACATTACCCAACACTGTGTTTACAAAAACACTAGCAATACCCAAAGTCATGAGGTACTTTTAAAAAGCAGACCATGATCAGCTCTTGGCAGTCCAGACGGCGGAGCTGGCAACGGTAATTGTGTGTGTGAGTGGAGTGTGTTTGATGTATATCTGTAGGAATGGAGTGGACCTTTGGGAATGTCATTAGCCTGTTTACTCTCCAGGGACAGAACAGAGAGGTCAGGCAGAGGCGACGCACTGTAAAAATGGAACCAGCAGCTAACCTAAATGATCTTCTCTTCCTATGATAAGCCTTTCTGTATCATTGATTTTCGGCCCCTTAAACACCTTTGAACTACCATTGGTCTGTGGCGATTACGCGTTCTGCGACTCCGCTTTCTTTCACATGGAAATGGATATTCGCTACAAGCATATCACCACAAAGGTATTTTGAACTTCTTTTTACCCCTAAGCAAAGAACGAGAAACAACTTTGCCTTGAGTACTTCGGGGCCTTTAGAGTACCAACTTGGTATGAATCTTAGTCAGGACAGACACCATATTTAATCTGGCACAAAAGAGCAGAAGGGAAAGAAGTACAGTCTGTTCAATGGGTTGTACTGTTGCATACCTTGGTGTCGATCATTCAGTCAACAAAACATTGGACAAAAAAACATGGATTGTGAAAATTAGACATGACCTAGGGCCTTAAAGTCAGAATGAAATCAATGATGACCCAATTTATTTACTTATTTAAATACACATTCACTGTCCACATTATTCCAAAGAAAACCGTCTTCGTAATCTTTTCCGTCTCTCGAACAGCTTTCTTTTCAGATGATGTCACCAAGCCCTCTTACTTTTTGACACCTACCTTTAACAATTCTAATATGCAACACCCACTTTTCAATATCCAATCAATTCACGATTAATAAAATCAAGTCCTGTTCTTTTTTTTTTTTTTTTTTAATCTTCGCTCAGAAATTCATTGCATCGTGGAAGTACAAAGGCTTGCAAAAGCCACATTCTGTTGACTTTAAGGCTGCATTTACACTGCAAGTCTTAATGCAGAGATCCGATCTTTTGACCAAATCCGATTTTTTTTGGCCCGCCTGTTTACATTCACTTTAGACACGACTGGTATCCGATATCTGTGTTTAAATTAATTCCCGCCCAAAAGGATTGACAGCAGTTATCGCTTTACTATGCACATGGTAGACCCTTGGGTTTTGAATGGCCGTGCTATTAAAATTTATATAATTCACGTCGAGTGCCCATTATTATTTACCAGCATGGCCAATGGCTGTCATGGATGTTTTGCAGAACAAAATCTGACTGAATGGATAAATAACGGAAAATAACAGTAATTTACATTTGTTAGACTATTTTATCTACAGCACGTTAGTGGTAGAATTCTTTAGTAGAGCCAAGATGATATTTATTGTAATTAATTCAAATGAATTAACGAGAGAGAGAGAGAGAGAGAGAGAGAGAGAGAGAGAACGCACGAGTGAGTGTGAAGCTTGCTGGTTTAATTACAAAAACTGTTATCACCTCATTGCTGAGAAATATAATGTAGCTTTTAGCTGTTGTGTTTCTAAAATTCAAGGGGCAGGGATTGAAAACCAGCTCCTAAATGTACAATTTCTTACCTATATAAAGTTTCCATATCAATAAAATGCGAGCGCGTACAGCACACTGGCATTAAAACACAATCTTTATGGGCAAACGTGTCGCCCTCGCATTGGGAGTTCTGCAAGGAATCGGATGTGTGTGTTTAGACGTAGGTCGGATGTCCAGATATCGGATATGTATCTGATTTAAAACCACGTTTGGAATTGGCTCAGATCGGATGCGAAAAAATCTGATCTTGTGCAGATTTTTGTGTTTACACGAGTGCAACAAATTCCGATCTGTGTCAGATGTGAGCAAAAAAAATCAGATTTTTTTTGTGCCAGTGTAAATGCAGCCTAAGACAGAACAACCCATTGAATGAACTATACCACCTTATTTTCATTTGTGTCAAACTAAATGTGACACCTTTCCTAACTGTCTGCATTTAAATTTCTCTACTTCTAAATTATTTATTTATTATGAAGTGCCTTTCTTTCTTAATCACGGTCTCTTCACTGCCTTTTTGCATCCTTTAAAAGACATACTTCTCAAATGTTTCTTTATTAGCTCTCCTCTTACACTGGATGACAAATCCTTCCAGAATTATGTAATAACCAAGCACTTCCTGCTTTCGAAACAAGATTATCATAATTACTCCCTATTCAGGGAAGAGTGTAACGCAGGAGGCCTGTTCTTACCTTAACTGAGATTGTAGCTTAGCCCCTTTGGTGACAAAGTCCTCCCAGGCAGGATAACTCGCCTACAGAACAAACAATGAGAGAGAAGAAGAGAGGGTTAGTCAGGGCAAACCAGAGTAAATCATTACACTTTACTGAGCACATTCATTATCAATATTTATCTGCCGAAAATACAATTTGTAATTATCGACTACATTCTATAATTCTATAATGTATTCAAGACGTGGATATGCACTGAAGTTTCATATTTAGAGTTATGGGTTTATTGAAATCCCTTAAAAAAAAATCCCTAGTGCATGAGGATGAATATAGTAAGACAACGCTGAAATCACATGATAGGAAGTTGCTGTTTACACCAAAAACAGCCAAGGCAATGTAAGTCTTTACAAGGTGACTGGTAAACTTGGACAAACAGACAAACAAGAAGCAACAATGATGAATAATACAGCAATTATAACAGGCTGTCACATCCAACAACTTTGCTCACTATCTGGTTGTGTGACAAATGCAACTTAAAGAGTTTCATTACATCACTAAAAATTAAAAGAGGTACAGAATGTATTGTTCATCTGAATGCCATGTAAACCAGGTACAACATTTCCAAACATTTAATCACAAAGTCACTCAACAAGTTGCCATTTCACTGCATCACAGACTAGCATGAATCAGAATGTCTTTTGGTTTCATCTTGTTTTCTGAGTAGTCTCCATCTCATTAGTGAGTATGACTAAGATTGTTTTTTTGCCCCAATGTTTATTAAATCTAATTCAAATCAAGCTAATTCTATTTGCAATAACAGGTATCAGTAACAGCTGATCCCTATTACAGAAAATCCCATAAAATGCTGACTGGTCTATTTTTACAGACAGGATCCATATAAATACTTTAGCACTGTAGAAAAAAAAAAAAAACGTATAAATAGAACCGGTGAAATGTTATCTGCCACATGTTTCAATTTACTTGAAATGAATCCAATAATGAGGCAACTGACTAAAACAGGGTTCAAAAATGTGAAAAATCCTCATTACAGCTGATATTGCTACATGTCAGCCCAAGATTCACTGGTCTGATTAAATTATACATTTCAGTTATATAAATACAGTAACAAAATTATAAAATACAGTTATGTTATACTTGCCCCTTCAAATACGTTAGCTACTTTCTTGCAATGAAACAAACTACTTAAAATAAATAAATAAAATACAAATAACTTCTCCAACAACACATTTTAACGCAGTGACAAATACACCGGATCATTATTTTGGGGTGGACTTTGTTCTTTAGGGTCAATACATTTCTGAAATGGGAACTACAGTCTGATTTGAATAAAATCTGCATAATTGTGTGCATTTCTTCCCACTACAGATGAAAAATATCTCAAGTCTTCCAGCTAATTACTAAAAATACACATACCTGGAAATGCTTTGCAAGGAGGCCATAAAATGTAATTGCACTGACATGGTTTACAGTCTACTGTCTTGTGGGTGTCAACCAGATCTCTCAGTAATTAAAGCACTTCCAGAATTGAATTTAAATGTGAGGTGATCATACAAGACAAAAAACTAGTAGTAGGGCTGGGCGATATAGCTAAAAAATGTATCACGATACATTGTTTCATATCATTCGGTATCGATAATTACTGACTTTTTTTATAACCTTTCTTAAAGAGCAGTAGAAAAAAGGTTTAAATTTAACCACTGTATTTTTTAACCAATTTAAGACAATCGGCAACTTATTTTAGTTTTAACAGTCAAACACAAAATAAAACTGAAACAAATAGCTCCTTTCTTATATTTTATATGCAGATTAAATAAGTGTTAAAGGGGTCATATGATGCTGCTAAGAAGAACATTATTTTGTGTATTTGGTGTAATGAAATGTGTTTATGCGGTCTGTCTTTTTACGCGTTGCATTGCATCGCGCCGCGTAAACATAAAACCATGTCTGCATTTGTGATCGAAGAAATGACAAACCACAAAAGTGCTACTCTACACTGCCCAAAAAATTGTGTTTGTATCATTGTATTGTAGTCTACTCTCCCAGGATCAGGAAACAGTCCTCCATAAAATGCGCTGGACACATCTGAATATTTGGGTTAAACTGTTCTGGAACAGTGTTGTAAATACAACTTAACCACTGATTTCTAGTCGTGTCCTCTTTTGGAAGACCAAACAAAGTAGTTTCGCTTTCACAACGAAACAGCGTCTCACACCGCGGCCTTGAGTGAGTGGAGGACGGAGGCCTAGAGTGAGCGGCGGCCTAGAGTATGCGGAGGCCGGCTTGAGTGAGCAGAGGCAGGCGGGCTTGAGAACGGCGCGGCCGGCGGATTTGACCAAGGAGCGTCCAGCGGGCTTGCGGCAACCACATGTGACGAACCCGGGCTGGACTCCGCTTCGTCCACGGTGAAAGCCGATCCGGCGATCGACAGCGCGAAGTTGATGTATTTCCTCAGCGACCAGCACGGATCAGCTCCAGGCATGACGAAGCGGATATCGTCCTCTTTTGGAAGGCCAACCAAAGTAGTTTCGCTTTCACAACGGAACACAGCGCCTTCACGACATGGCGGCGGCGGCAACAACAATACTACAGCAGAATAAAAGTTACGCCTTCTTTCTTTGCGTGAACATTTGGGCATCATGTATTTATGCATAGCTTAATACAAATAGCCAAAGGAATGGAATAAAACCCCCACAAATTCTCGAGACTTGTTTTCTAAAACTTGAACCTCTTTTAACTTTACATGGACGCGACTGCAACAGTCATAGTTGTGCGTCTTAAGAATGCGCCGAATATGCGTTCTGTGTGAATGGCTTGGTTTCGGTTTTAACCTAACCAATATTTTCTCCGCATTGAGCTTATATATTTCTCTAATATTTTGAACGAAAAATGCAGCAGCGGGTTTCATCTTGTGGGTTCAACTGGATAGACTAACAAGCCTATATTATTAGCTACATCATAGCCTACATCATTACCGCATCGTGCACTGCTGATAAGGCTCTCTGACACACACCTAAAATTCAAAAACACCGTTTTTGCACTCAAATGCAATTTTTTTTTTTAAATTCGACTAATATTCCTTTTTTTTTTTTCAGTCTCCTCATCGCAGGCAGGCATGGCACTCATTTCAGCATGTGTTTGTGTGTTTTGTTGGCTGTCTGCTTGTCAATCATAACATGCGCCTTTAAATGAAATAAGCGTGAAACTATACTGCGATATATCGAACATTTTTTCTATCGTTATCGATGATGGAGTACCTTCGATAAATACAGATACCGTTTTACCGCCCAGGCCTAACTAGTAGTTAACATACGTTAGTGTAAAACAGAGAATAATAAATTTATTAAGCATGTAAGGACACATTAAATAGATCAAACGTGACAGTAAAAACATTTATAACATTATAAAAGATGTTTATAATTAAAAAAAGTTATTTTAAACCTTTTATTTTTCAAAGAATCCTGAAAAAAGTATCCACAAAAATATTAAGCAGCACAACTGTTTTCAACATTGATAATAAGCAGTAATATTTCTTGAGCATCAAATCAGCATTAGAATGACTCCTGAAGGATCATGTGACACTGAAGCTTGAAGTAATGATGCTGAAAATTCAGCTTTGTCATAAATTGTAAAATAATTAATTTAATATTTTAATGTCTTTATTTACCAGGACAGACTGCAAAATCCATGTTTTTTTAGAGATATAAAAGTTACTTCCAACATATTTAAAATAAATAAGCACTTTTTTAACCACTAATTAGTAAGTATATTATTCTTGGGTACATAGGTGATATACTTTCATATTGTTGGCAATACTAAAATGTATAATAAGTAAACAAATTAAGGCATTTAAAATTTTAGCTAATGCTAATACACACTGCAAACAGTATGCTAATGCAAACACGCAATACAAACAATTTTATAATGATTTAGGTCTTGGTCAATGTATTACACACTCAAAACATGATCACCAGCAAAGTACTTTTAGTGTATAGTATAAGTATGCGAATTGGGCGCAGCCTACACTTTACTAGCTCCTTCCGGTGGCATTAATTACAGCACGTGAGGTTATCACTAAGTATACATCTCATAGGAAACTAGTGACCATGATTTGTACACGCACCTCCAGGGCTTTCCTGGGTCTGTCAGAAACGTAAAAGGACGATCCACCCACAAGAACACTCCTACCAAATCTGTCCTGTGAACCATTTCCTTTTCAAACTGTCAGTTCTTTCTCCCTCATCTCTCAGAAGAGGACCACTCCTGTGAAGTAAACCCCCCAGAGCTTTGCTTTCAACCGCATGAAAGAAATATATTATCAGTTCCTGTCTTCGATCCTTCTCATCTTCGCCTGTTGCTGTGGTAAAGAGGTGGCGACACAGAGCGGAGGACGAGGAGAGGACAAAAAAACCTGTTGGTCCACTGTATCAAGTGACAAAACAGACACATGTATAGTACACCAGGCAGAGGTGGCAATGAGGATCAACCACTGAATTTCAAATATAAAAATGGCATCCCTCACAGATGGTTTCTTTGATTAATAATAAATGTTTTTAAAAACATCTCCCCCTCTCTAACAAGGACTCAAGGGAGGCAGTAAAGAATAGTACTGTAAACCAACAGCACCCTAATGATCCACATACTCAGCTATTAAAGGCAATCCCACAAAAACACATCAGCTAATAACTGCATTTGCAAAACCTGACTATGCTTTTCATCTATATCATCATATGGACCATTAGTAACAGTGAAGAGATAGAAGAGTAACTGGATGAAAGAGACAATTAATTATTGTAAATTTATAAATATTATAATATCAATTAAATAAATAAATGTTAGTATTAGTTAGTGCTGTGTTCGATACATCGATACGACGATGTATCGTCACAGAGATTTGACGATAAAGGCACAATATGTAATTTTCGCCGCTAGAGGGCGTGTATTCAAAATAAACAAAGAGGCGAAGGCATAGTTTGATGACGCAGTGACTGAGGCCCAATCCCAATTCTATTTTATACCCCTTCCCCTTCCCCTTCCCCCTTGAAACAGAGTGTCAAGGGGTAGG